ATACTGTTCTTACAGTTTTCTGTAAGACTGAAATCTTCTCAATAAAAAGTTATGCATGATCAATTAAAGAAACAAAAGGTCTAAAGAATGATGAGAAGGTAGTATTCAAATATTAAAGTTTATACTAGCAACTGAAATTTCTTGTGATGCCCTCAAATATTTATTCAGTTTATCATGATGTCGTTAGGTTTCCCTAGTGTGCTACTCTTCAGGATTTGTTGGTGCAGTGTCCTAGAATTATGAGCTCTTAGGGCTAATGGATCATAAGCTTCCATTTGAGGCTTTGCTTCTAAATGCTCTGGATAAGTCATCTTTTAAGGTTAAGTGTTGAATACACTTTATCATGTCTAGAACACTTATTTTGGCTACCCTATCTTTTGGTTTCCCTTTGTGCCACTAATACCATTACCATTGTATCTCATAAGATAATACCGCATGTCCTGCCCCAAACCAAGAAAGTAGCTATTCCATTGGTTCCTAAACTGTGTACAAATTCATAGAAATGATTAGGGTATATTAAAAAATTTCATGGGAAACATAGTGAAATCTGTTGGACAGAACTTGACGTAGTTCACAGTTTTAGTGTTATCTTGATATAGTTCAGTTTTTATGTTAGATTACTGGAATTCTTTCATTTGGGGTCATGTTTTTGTGAAGCCATGCTTTTAGTGGTTGCTTTTCTGAAAAGCATGAAGTCCATAGGAAATAGAAAATGAAGGTGCTGTGTGTAATGGGATTCAAAAGTTTGGGAAATCGCCCGTCACACAACTTGTTGTGCCTTGGAATTCTAATTTACCAGGAATGTCATAGTGATACCCAGTGTAAGCTTTTATATAGATCCCTCAAGAAAGGCAGTAACAGGGTTTTGTGAAGTTAAAAACACTAGACAAACACAAGTGTTTAACATCTTTATTAGTGTTCATGTAACTTTTTATTAGTTAAGCCATAGTACTGAAAGTTTTTCAGTTAAACTGAATTCATTTCCTTGGTTTGTCTAAGAGCATCCCAGCAGTGTGGGATTTGGCATCATCTTCATTTGTTTGCTCGCCTGTTTTTTTTACAACAGTGCTAGTGAGTAACAAAGCACCTGTAAGGCTAATTCCACATAGTAATTATGCTTATTATTTCACATCTGCATGTAATTGTAAGTTTTATAATATATTCTGGTTTGAAAGATTCACTAACTATGTAGATAGATTTTTAGTATTTGAGTGTCAATATATATCAAATACAATAGTAATCTTAGTAAAACACTGCACTGGTATAATAATCATGCAACTGTAATGAGTAACCAAAGAAAACAGGATGTACTGACATTCTGTCAAGCTAAAGATTAGAATTTGGGCAGGCGCTGTGCTGCTGAACTACACCCCCAGCCCTAAAGATTAGAATTTGAAGCTTAATATAAACAAGAAAAAATTAAAAGCTAGATCATAGATTATCACAAAATGTTAATGTCAAAAAGTGCTTTAAAGGCAGTGTGATCCATTTTTGTCACGCAAGTGAGAAAACTTAAAGCCCAGAGACATGGAATGAGAAATCTCACGATAAACTGTCCTTATCCCAGAATGTTTTCTTGTTCTCACTTGTTTATGACAACCTATTTCCTGTCTGAAAGAGAGAGAAAACAACTGGCTATTGATCTCAACACTGCACACAAGCCATTATTAAAGGGCTTATGCTTAGCATGTTGTTGTCACATATTGAGGAAAGCATCAGTGTATTTGTCAGTTCTATAAGGATCCTACTAAATAACCAAGAAGCCACCTTAGAACAAGCTAGAGCTCCTCTCTCCAAGAAGAAAAATGAGCCATTCAGAGAATGTGTTTGTTTGTGTATAACAGATGTCTAGGAATAGAATTTTAGGCATAAAGACTTTTGTGTGGCTCAATCTAGGGATTCAGTTACTATTATGATTTAGTGTCTATCTCTTGGCTCAGCGTTCCTTTTGGTTAGCTTGATTCTCAGAGAAGCTCTTAGGACTTGGGGGGTGGGGGGGGATACACAACTACTGGTTCTAATCAGTAGTAGAGAAGAGAGGTTATATTAGAGTAGACTGTTTTATCTGGAGTTCTTCAAAACTTAAAGTGTCTCTAATGAGATTTTGTTTATAGATGATAAAGGAAGCAGTTTATTCTTTTGTGACCTCACACACTGCTGTGATGTGTCAGAGGCATCTATATTTCAAATGGTCATGACTTTTGTACAAATTCTGTGCAAATTCACAGTTACCTGTAGAAGTGCAGGACATGGCAAAGCCTTAAGCTAGAAAATAATGGGAAAGTTATGACTAACTGCTAACAAAATTTTAGCTGTAAGAAATCACAAAAGTAGTCTACGGCTGGTGGTTTACTGGGTGTGGGTATGCAACAAAGCAGGTAGGACCTACAAGGCTAAGGAAGGAGAAGTCAGACCTCTGAAATGCTGGGTGCAGCGCAAGAGCGAAACACAGCAGTGTGAGAGCAGAGCACACACTCAAGAGGACGTGGTCCTAGTCTGAAGGCCTCCTCTCGGGAAGTGATGTAAGTGTGGCCACATTAAAGAAGGTCTAAAAGGTAGCAGTCAGTAAATTTGGAAGTTTTTGATAGAACATAAGCATTACCTGGTCAGTTCCTGTTGCTGCTGTTAGGTCATGTTCATTAATTTATTTCTGTTCTTTGCTTGGAAATTTCTTCCTTCAGATTTCTCCAAATCTTACTTACCTAGATGGGTGTTCTTCAGTGTGGGAAATCTGCCAGTTGCTGCACATATTTATTTCAGATATGCCTTACAAAACTGGTTACACAGGGTGTGCTTGAGAACCACAGGGGCTCAGTCTCATTGATCCCCTCAATCTCTTTAAACCCCTCTGCCTGATACACCATTAATGGTGGTTGAGTCTTAAGAATTAGTGTCAGCACAGTGTCCAGTGCTCCTTCAGTCAGGTAAATAACCCTTTCCACACACACAGTTACCCAGACAGATGATCGTTGGTTCTTTGTGAGAAAGAAAGAGGAAGATCTGGATTATAAGTATCTGGCTGTGTATCAAGCAGGGCTGGCCTCCACTTGCTTGTTTGAAAAGGAAAGTTCTAGGAGTTTATTGAAGTACTCTGGTTTTCTATTTTGTTCACTTAAGCCAGACCTTTTCTGGTTAGCCAGATGAAGAAACTAAAACCACAGTAGCTGACCTGTTTAGTTCCAGGAATACAGTACTGTGGTCAATCTGCCAGTGCTAAAAGATCTCTGCTGGTCAGCTCATTCTGATTGCACCTTTGGTTCTATTATTCTAAGAACATTCACTTCGTCTCTAGATACTAAGTGTTGCCACTTGGTTCCTGCCACCCAGAGATTTCATCTTGGTGAATTCAGGGAACACAATTGATGGCAGAAGATCCCACATGAATTTCGGGCCTACAGCACAGGGCTAGGATCCTGGGGAGGAGCATCCATAGGACATAGATAGAGAATAGAAACATAGGTCTTACACAGCCATTTAACTCTAGCATTCCAGTCTTTCTAAGTTTTTCAGTTTATACCAGGGAACCTTATTTAGTGTAGGCTACTTGTGGAGCTTTAGGACCCTCCTGGTGAATGGTGGAACACACTGTTGGGTAGTCACGGAGGCATACTCTTGGGTTCTATATATATGTATGGTCCTTGTGACTTTCCTTTTCTGGCACTGTTCCCCTGCTCTGCTTCCTGGCTGCCATGAACTAAGCATGTTTGACCTGCCATGCCCCTCTGCCATGATGTTTCTGCCTTGGGCCCAGCTGTCCATGGACTGAATCTGCAGAAACAATGAGGCAAAATTAAAACTTTTCTACCTCAAGTTGTAGGTGTCAGGTATTGTGTCTGGTGATAGGAAGGCTAATACACCAGTTTAGGGACTAGATTTCAGCTCACTGAACTCAGCAACTCTGCTCTGTACCCACTGAAAAGCTTGCTTCATTTACACTTTGATACTCTTGCAACTAGAATGTAAGCTCTTTGAGGACAGTGATTTGGTTTTGTTCACTCTGTAACGTCTCCGGTGTCTGGCATAGTGCCTGCTATAGATCAACAGGATGGTCACTGAGTGCTTGATGAAGATTGACTGGCTCATGTAACTGTGTTTGTTCACTCCTGGGATATATTGATCGTGGTGCTAGTAATAGAAGGAGTAGGTCCATAGAAGACAAAAATAAATCAGTTGTCAATAAGCAGAGAGGTGGCCAGGGCTGAAACCCTGAAGGCAGAGGGGTGGCAAGGTGAGAGATGAAACTTCCTGGGTAGTTAGTGACCACACTGTATAGTGTGGGAGACCCCTGTGAGAGAAGCTGGTCTGGTATTGCAATTGTGGTCAGAAATCCTAGGAGCATTTTAAGCCATGAGTGACAGAGTTTTATTTTATCTCTAAAATTGTTTAGAGAATAGACTGAGCAAAGCAAGCTTGGTAGCAAGGAGATTAATTAGAAAGCATATTTGCCTTTGAGTGTAGCTTGTTGTTGGCCAGGGTGACAGCGGTAGCTCCCTTCATCTGCTGTTGTCACTTGTCTTGTGAGGAAGCCTGGTGTTGGCCTTGCTGTGAGGTGCAGCTGCCATGGAGACTACAGCTGCTATCCAAGCCTCTCCCGCCTGTTCCTGAGCCACACGGATAGGCCCTAGTGAATGGGAAGCTAAGTTTCCAGCATGCCTGGAGAGCACTTTTCCTGCATGCTGCGATGTTTCACTCAACAAACTTTTGTACTTATTTGGTTTTGTTAATCAAGTTGTTATTATATGTAGCATTTCATAATGAGAGTTATAACTTCATATTTTAATTATATGTAATGTAAATGCAGTTTATAGATAATTCTAAATACATCATAGCAATTTTTAATTTTCAATCTGCTATATATAGGTTATTATATTGATATCGTGCACTATAAAAGCGTAATGAACTGTTAGCATCTGAATTAGATGTATTAATAGCATGTTTTACAAACTGCAGAATTACAATTGTATTTTATTTGACTTTATTTTTGCTATTTTTATTTAAAGTACCAAGATACAAATATGCAAGGAGTCGTATATGAGCTGAACAGCTACATAGAACAACGGTTGGATACAGGAGGAGATAACCACTTGCTCCTCTATGAGTTGAGCAGCATCATCAAAGTAGGTAAGAAACATTTCATATTCTTTTAGAAAAACTGGGCCAAAGATTCTTTTTTCACATTATAAAATTTGTCAAAAAATTGACATATTAAAGGTACATTAATATCATTCATTCACTTCTATGGCTGGACCAAGTTTGAAGCATAAATCTTTTATTATGAAACTACCAGAATGGGTGCTGGGCAAGTTGGCACACACCTGTAATCTCAGCACTTGGGAGGCTGAGGCAGGAGGATTGTTGTGAGTTTGAAACCAGCCTCGGCTGCAAAGTGAGCTCAAGGCCACCCTGAACAGCATAGTGAGACACTGTGTCAAAAAAGAACCACCCCACAAAAAAAGAAAAAAGAAGAAACTACCAGAATGGGTCAACCTAAAAAAATCTCTAAATTGTCTAAACTCAAATAAATATCTCCCTAACATGTAAATTGAATATATTATGCCTTTAACACCTCTTTTTCTTTGGGTACTATTGTTTTATTGAATTCACATCTTTATTTAAAAAGTTGTTAATTTTTAAGGAAAACTAGCATTTGAAATTTATTTGGCTAGAAGACAATTTTGCTATATAAGAAATGCCTGAAGTTGTGAAAAGAGTGGGGAAGTTATATCAGAAAAGTAATTTTTAGAAAGATGCACTATTTTGGGGACATGATTTTTTAGATACCTACAGTGGATATAATGATGGTGAGAACGTCTGTCATGTACTTAACTATATGCCAGGTACTTTAGCATGTGTATTACATGCATTACTTATTTTCATTATAATCTCATCAGATGCTTTCTGTTATTATCTTTTACTGATAAGAAGCCACAGAACAGAGAAGCTAAGTCTTACCCAAAAACCCACAAGTAAAAAGGAATCAAGTGCCATTTAAACAATTCCTCCGAGATTTATCGTAGTCATTGCTATAGTATTGCCTTAGGTGACCCCGAAGTGATTTTAGGGAATTATGTTTACTTCAGTTGGTATGTAGGAGTTGAGACCACTCCATTTGGTTGATGCTTATTTCAGTGATTTAGTATTATGGATATCAATTCTGATATTCTTTTTTTTTAAAAAAATTTTTTTTTGTCTTTTGAGACAGTGTCTCGATATGCAGCGCAGGCTGGCCTTGTGCTCACTTTGTAGCCCAGGCTGGTCTTGAACTTGCAATGATCCTCCTGCCTCAGCCTCCAGAGTGCTGGGATACAGGCATGCACCACCACGCCTGGCCTAGTTCTGATGTTCTTAACACTTAAAATTTAAAGGCAATTCTTTAATTAAAAATGTATTCTCCAGTGGTTCTACACATTCAAAGTTTGACAAATATATTATTACATAGTGTGGTGCCTGTGATACACATTTGAGAATGTCACATCATAAAATTTGCAGTCTCTAATGAAAAATCTATGAAGCTCTTCTAATAATGTTATTGAATAAAGCCATGAATTATTTTGTGCTTTTTACTGCATGACCATTGGTTACTTTAACAAATTCTTTCAAAAGGCGTTCACCTTTGAGAATTGGTACATGTTATATTTTTCCATTGAGATTAGTTTCTTTTTTATTACTTTGGCAGCCACAAAAGCTGATGGATTTGCACTGTACTTCCTTGGAGAGTGCAATAATGTAAGTATCTATATTTAGATTTTGGTGCTCTAGATAAAAATACTATGAGCTCTTTAAAATGCTATTATATTACAAATAAAAGACATATATACTATAGTTACTAAGTACTCTAAACTTATTTGTATTTTGTTTCCATATGTAATTAATGCCAGTCAAAAGTGGCATGGCAAGAAAAACAAAACAAAAAGCATGGCAACTTTTAGACATAAAATCTTGCTACATACTTACTTACTTATTTGTTTATTTATATTTTAGTCTGTAGTGTCCTGCATCATGAATGGCACTTGTAGAATCTGTGTTTTTTACAAAAGTTATTTGCACACTATGGCCTGGGCTGCCATAGAGGAGAGCTTCTGCCCTTCATATGCATGATCTATGGTAGAATAAAATAAAAATACATGTTTATCACCATCTGTATGATTTTTAAGGCTTTGAAGGTCAGTTCTGCAAAGTCTCTGGAGCAGTTACTGAAGCTGGATCCCTGTGCCACTGCATCTGTGGCTCTGGTCATTGAGGCCTGTGCAGAATCTTAGCTGTCGCTGTTTTGCATTCTGTCAAGTGCAGCATGCAGAGGCATTTTCAAAAGTATCTCAACACATTCAGTCACTGATATTTGATTTTTGTAATGGCATTAAAATATGTACATAATATTTTAACGTAATCTTAGTTAATACTTTATTTCTAGCTTACAATTCATTTATAAATTTATTTGACAAACATCTGTATTTCTTACATGCTCTGGAATGCTACTTGAGATTTGAGTTGTATTTGTGCAGTATGATCCCTGTATTCTTGAGTAAGCAAAATATGAGCTCTTGACCTTATATAGCATGTTAATAGAAACAGGAAAAGGTGTTATTTTAAATTCTATTTAGTAATATAATGATACAAAGTGTACACATAGTTGCAGGAGAATACTGACTAAATTAATTAACTCGTAACTGATCATCTTTATTTCCAGCTTTGAGTTTCCTTACCTGAGAGTGTTCCTTTACGATTTCTCTGGATTCCTTCTATGCTCAGCCCAGAGATGCATTATAAAAGATTTGTAAAATATTCTTTATCCGGTGCCTAAGTAACTTTTAAAAGTTTTTTGAGTGCCAAATTATCTGACCTGCTATATTGGTTGGAATAGAAGTTAATATACTTCTAAAATGCAGCTAAGCATATTAAGTAGAATGGAACATTTCTGCACAAGTGCGCTAATACATGTATACATTCTTTTATCATTCTTTTGAATATGAAAAGCAGCATAATATAGACAATTATAAATATTTTAAAATTATACCCAGAGTTAAATCATCACAAGAAAGTCTTTTGTAAACTTAAATTTACAAAACAGAAATATACACATGACTAAATTATAGTAGTGCAATACAAATAGACTGAGGTACAGAGTTTTAGTATACATAAACAAATGCCGAGGATTAAGAACAAGTTAGAAGGGATTACAAAGTTGTTGCACTTACAAAAGCTTTTTTTTTATTAATAAGTTAGTAGAAATAAATAGGTCAAAAATTTCAGTAATAGAATTTAAAAATTCATCATTATATTATCAGAGAGAAAATACTTTAAAAAAACATAGGAATTGTCAGGGGTGGTGGTACATGCCTGTAATTCTAGCCAATCAGGAGGCTGAGGCAGGAGGATGGCACATTTGAGGCCAACCTGGGTAAATTGGTAGATACTTTCTCAAAACTTTTTAAAAGGTCATGGAGTGTAGCGTGCTGATAGAGCACTTGCGTAGCATGTGCAGTGCCCTAGGTTTCACTCTCAGCACTACAGAAGAAAACAGAAATTATAAGCAGAAGGTAGAAAAGAAAGCAAATTTTAAAAAGTACTAAAAATAAAACAAAATATGACTGAGAATCATTATGTAGTTTTAACAAAGTTATAATTGAGGTAGACTGAGCTATTAAAAGGAAACAGCAGTAAACCTCTTACTTAGGTCAGGCTAAAGTGAGATGAAACTGTCCTGTCTTCTGTTCCAGCAAAATGCAGAAAAAGAAAAAGTGGATGCTGCAGATCAGTGACAAAGTTTAGCTCAGGGAATAAAAACATTAAATTGGAGGAAAAAGTCAGTTTTTATTGGTGAAAGGTTTAATCCACAGTGAAAAGAGATCTGTAGTGAAGTTTATACACTAGATACTTTGTTATTGAAATTTATAAAGTGTAGCATGCAAGGGTATTTTCAGTTATTGACAAATAATAAAAAACTTACAGGACTTTAGTAATATCATTTAAGTTCATCCAAATTATATATATGTCAAACTCATTATTTTAAAGTTTATTGACTTGGGGTTCCCTTTCTTTCTCAATTTTAATGCATTTAATCCTCATTCAAGAGTTCATTTAGGGTTCCTGTATTAGCAAAAAAAAACAAAAGGAAATTAAATCTTGGAAATTAAACGTGATATGCCAAGTAATTTCTTGCGCAAAGAAGAAAGTCAAACATACTGAATTGTATGTACAAATAGATTGTAGTATTGCTAAGTCTCTGAACAAAATTTCTCGCAATGGAAAATATACATCCTTAAAATGCTAAATATTTATCTGTGTATGTAAGAAACATTAATAAATCATAACAAAAATCAGTTCATTAATCTGACCTATTTTTATTGGACACTACCACAAGGTAGGTACTGTTTCAGGCACCAAGGATGTATTGTAGGGAATTTAAAAAATCTCTACTCTTATATACTCTTATGGTTTGCAGTAGCTTACACGCACAGTTAAGTTACTCCATGCTGTCACTATGTTGAAATGACCTCCAGAAATATTCTGACTGCTTACTGGGCCATGTCACCTGGGATGGTCACACAAAGAGAGAGCTCACACAAACTACAGGTCAAGCAATTGATATATTTTTTAAAGTACAATCTTGTTTTTCTTGGTTTCAGGGTTCTTTGTAGTACATTTTAGGTTTTTAAAAACATGTAATTGAATTTTATTCTTCTATTTTTGTATCAATTAAAAGAAGGAAAAACAACAAAAAAAGTCCTCTACCCTCTTTGTGTTTATGAACTTAAACTGCAGAGATAAAAAAAGGAAACTGGTATCAGTGAGGAGATCTAAAGACAATACGAGTAAACCATTTGCTAAACTAACCAAGTCAGAGAAAACCTAAGTACATAATGTTCAGTCATTAAAATAGAAGTAGAACAATAGATACAGCAAAAATGACAAATTATGGGGCAGTATCTTAGTTTATTTTCACTTTTTGCTGAGACAAAATACCTGATACCCAAAATTAAGGAAAGGTTTATTTAACTCACAGTTTGTGGTTTCAGTCCATAATCAGCTGGTTCCAAAGCAGTTTAGCATAGCAGAGGGACAACAGTTCAAAGCGGCAGAAGACAGGAAAAGCAACAAGAGCAAAAAATGGGGGGCTGGCAAGCCTCTTTTCCTATCTTCTATTGTATGTAGGCTACCCGCCCTAGGGAAGGGAGAGCATGCATACCACCTCCATGCCCTCCTCTTTCACAGACTCAGGATGTTTACAAAGTGAGGACTCTGACCCCCTGCTGAGTTAGTTAGTTAAACTTCTAAACTCCTCAAGTTGACACAATAGATCAATGATTACAACATCCTAGAGCATAAACAGCCACCCTAGGGCATGTCCTTTACACCCTAGGATGTAGAACTGCTGTGTCACTTAGTTAAGCTCCTAAACTTTTCAAGTTGACACAATGTATCAACTGTTACAGGGAGCTGTATGATACATTCATACTATTAAATGTGAAAATTAGGTAAAATGGACAGTTCTCAAGGACTATAAATTGCCCCATCTAGTGCAAATGATAGAAAACTGAATAGCCTAGTACTGAAGGAACAAATTGAAAATAGTGTTAATATACAGCCTTTCTATAAGCCAGTAGGACACTTATGAAGCAGACTGTTCTGGAGCACCAGCTGTGGTGAGGCATGGTGCCAGACCTGAGGAGATGATAAAGCAGAGAGGATATGCTGCTGGGCCACACTGTCGCTCCCTGCTGGGGCAACACATAGCAAGGAAAATGCCTGTGCTAACTACACTGTCCCAGAGCTGAGGGGAAAAAGGAAACTGTCTAGGAAGTAGTTTAGCTTTTAAAAAACTTTCAGTTCTGGAATTGGATCTGTGAATTCTGATTCACCACTTAGTAATTGTCTAACTTTGGCAAGATTCTTAAATTTTTAAGCTTTAATTTACACTCCTCTGATTAAATGTTATAAATGGTGTTCTTTCAACAAATAATTTTAAAGACCTGCTAACAGAAAATTGTTGAGTGTACAAAGATAAATGAAAAAGAATGTATTTCTTTCATTAAAGAGTGTAACCAGAGGGAGAAAAAAATCAAGTAACAGTAACAAGGGCTTGGGATCATGAATTTGGTGGCACTGTATCATATAAAAAGAAATTGGAATATGAGCTAATATTTGAGTGCCTATTTTAAGACCACTCACCTTATAGATGAAAAATGGGGGATTTCTTTAGGCAGAAAAAATGATTTTGAAAATTCTGGAACTATTACAGAACACAATATATGTTATGTCCTGGCCTTAGCAGTGTCTGACATATAAGGTACTGTTGAGACATTTTGTAACAAAAGCATATGATTAAATTTTACTTAATTCAGATTTCCAGTGATTTTAACCCTTTTCATTCATTTATACTTAGTCACATATTGTAGTTGATATATAACAGTGTTATTGTTATACTTTCTTCATGTATTATCCATTAGTGTAGTTTATAAAAGCTATAATAAACTTTATGGAGTCCAGTTATGTTTTAAAATTTCAATTCAAAATTAAGATCATAAATAGCTTTTCAGATGTTGATTTTTTAATAATAACTTCTCACAAGATTTACAGGCTTGGTTAAACAATTGGTTTTTTAAATTTTATTTGTAAACATGAACAACCAGATAGTTACAACAACCTAACTTCATAGACTATTAAGCTTCAAAATTATGTAGTCTTGTCATTTAGTAATCAGGAAACCAGTGTGTCTAGTGTGGTTAAATGTCTGTCTAGCTTCACGTGGCTAGTGAAAAACCAAAGCCATTCCTTGAGTCTGATTCCCAGGGACTCCACTTTATATGCTTTCCTCGGTGACCCAGTTGTGCTCTTCCTGTCCTGATAAGTTGCCTATTTTAAAGACAGAATTTTCCTTCCTTCATATTCACTGATTTTTGCTACCCCCAAACTGAAACAATGCCTTTTAACCAATTCTGTTGTTTGAAGTACAAACGTGGAAAAAAATTGAAAGGAGAGGAATCCAAGTTTTAACTTTGGTACATATACCTTAAAGTCTCCTGGTAATGTTTCATTCTTTGTATTTGGAAGCGGTAGTTTGTGTTATTGTGTGATTTCCCGATTGCATGATGGACCCTAGCAGGACGATTTCAAGTTCTAGGTCAGTGTGGGTTCCTAACTGCTCAAACTGTTCCACAGAGGTCTAAATTTGTTTGCTATCCAGTGCCACCTAGTGTCTTTTAAGAAAATACCAGTAAGACTATTTTTTTTCTTCTAGCAAGTACTTCTAAAATTTAACTGGCTGTGAGTGGACATCTTAGCATTAAAATGAAGTTTTAAGAATAAAATGATCTTTGAATTGTATTTGAAAATAAAGACAAGGCATGTTTTAGTCAGAGAAATAGACCTATCTATTTATTTGACATTAGATCAGATTATTCCATTTCGTTTTTCATAAATTGTGCGTCTATTTTCTTGATGATTTTCCACAGAATTCACTTATATCTCCAGAACTTTTATAATTTGAATGATATTTTGTCCTTTCAGTGAGCTCAACTCATTGGTTATGATCTTTACCCCCAATCTCTTGTAGTTTATACCGTTTAAAATGTAAAATTTTGCTGTCAGTACATAATTTTGCCTAGTTTATCATGAGTTTCTTTGCAAAATTGGATAACTCTCTTCAGACCCTTTCTTGACATTTGGATTAATTTGCACTCTTTGGGCCATCTCCTGTGTGCTCCTTGGGCAGGGGGCTGGCAGTCACATCACCGCAGGAGCTCTCCAGAACTTGGGAGTGGCAGGAGCCCTCTCTCAGGCTGAACCCTGGAGGGGAGCTGATCTGTTCTGTAGAAAGGACAGAGGTGGTTGGGGTTTAGGACTTCGGACCTTTTCCTCATTTTTAGGTGTGGCATTTATCTCTGGACTCTAAAAAATGTTTTGTTAATAAATGTCATATAAATTTACACAGAATTAGAATGGGAATTACTTTTTCAACACTTGATTTACCAGTGGCTCTTACAGATAAATTAGGTACTATAAATACATGCATAGGAGTATTAACACTTTACAAAATACTGTTTGGTGATATTTTCATTTATCTTTTAGGAAAATAGTGAATATAATTTTTTGTTATCTTGTTAATCTAAATACCCTAGTCAAATCCTTAGTACAATAATTATATTGCTTGCTTTTGAAAAATAAAGTTGCTTTTTACTTTATATTAATACATTAATGGAGACCCTCCACCAATGAAAAATGGAAACTGTATTTTACAAAATAATTATAATTATTTTGAAGTACTAAGAACTAAGACAAGACTTATCTTTCCAAATCATAAATGTATTATAAACATAAGGTAATTAAAACACTGGTATACAAGTAAGCCTAGTGGGACAGAATTAAGAGTTCAAAAGCACACTTGTGCGTACTTGAAGGTTCACTGTATGATACTTGGTTTACCATTGGACTATTTCTATGAAATAAATAAATGCAGATTTAACCCAGTTTTTAACTCTCCTTCACTTTGTGGAAGATTCAAGCCCTAATTTACCATTTCCTTATTGAGTTTTTTATACATTAACAGCTACTTACATTATCATTCGACTACAAAAATCATGAAGATCATGCTGTCACAAAACATGTACTTCAAAGTAGTGCTCCTTTCTCAATTAGAAATGAAAGGAGCTTTGGAAAAGGTAAAGTATATTGAGGAAAAAAACAAGTAGGGAACCACTAATACAAGGAGGGAAAAGTGTCCTGCAGACACTAGTCAGAGATAGGTATTTGCTCTCAGATTGGTCCTCATTTTTTCTTCTGCCTGAGCCTTTGATATTACAGTATTTTCAATATTTTATTAGCAGGTCTCATTTGAAACATTTCTGTTTTACAGATTATGAACAAAATCTTGAACTCATTAGTAAAGCAAGTAGATAGTTCTTACTGTAAAGAAGTACTTACTTTTTAATAATTATCTTCATGGAAAAGTTTTTCAGATCCAGGAAATGACCAAAGAATTTCTAAACCTTTTATTTTCAGCAAGCCTATTTTGTGGGATGATTTCCCACCCTGAGATACAGGATTTGCTTATTGGTTTCTTGTGCCTCATATGGAAACCTATGTAGGAGGCAGTATGTGTTTCATACTATCAAATTAAATAATCAGTAATAATATAGGAATGCATGAGATATCATTATTGAATTATGAAGGCAAACATAACTTGAAAATAAAACAAAATTTGGCTTTTAAGGCCTGATAAGTAGGTTATCCAACAAAGATGGACATTGTATATCTTCACACAGACCCCAGTAACTGACCCCACCAAAAAGAGAAAGGAAAGAAAAAGAAAATCCAAAGCTACAATTGGAAACTTGCTTCAGAGTTTACTTTACGTTATCATTATAGGACATTCTTTTTCTAAGAATTATCTAAACCACTCAGTTCATTTTAAGTTCATTTCCTGTCTTTGGTGGAGAAAAGGAACAGTTGCTCAGTGTCCTCTTTGTGACTTTCCCATAGTTTGAGGAAATAATTTTCCTTCTGGTTTTTCTTGAGGCTAAATATACCATCACCTTTAGTATTTTTCTTGCATTCATCTCTTCTTCTTGTTCTTGAATCATTTTTTCTACCTTCTTCTCAGTCATAAGAAAGGGTGATGCCTGACTTAACATTCAGCCATCAGTACCAAATCTAATGAGTCTTCTGTGCCGTATATATTGGTGCATAATGGAAGTACAGCAACTTTAAAAGCAATGGCAAAAGAATAAAATAAAAGCAGTGGCAATGATTTCTAGCCTTCTAAAAATAAGATGCAACTATCATTTATCATCCCATGCATATTTTTATTTGTAAGTATATGCCTATTATTTAAACATAATGTATTAGGTTTAATGCTTTCTCAAAGAACCACTTAGGTATATGTTCCACATGCACTAGGTTTAATAACAGATACTATTTAACCACAGTCGTAACTGTGAGGGCACACTTGGGAATAAACATGTTTTGAATTTAGTTTCTAGTCTCTTATAATGGTGATTTATTTAATAATGCCAGGGTTAAACCAGTCCTCTCCTCTTCTAACTCCTTATTGACTTGAGCATGGAGGTTAAATGTATAGAGCTCACTGGCCTGTGATTGTAAAATGTTTGAAAGAGTTCTTGATATAAAGCTTGAAAATCATTTACCTGATATAAATGCAATTGACTCACTGTCTTGCCCTTAAAACTATGCTAGTAAATAACAAGTATTAATAGGAGTATGTTTATATTAAGAGAGTTGCCTGACATTTGTTACTTCAACGTCATTAACCTTTAAGTTACAGCAATCCCATTTAACATAAAAATAAAGTGAAGTATAGGAGAAATTTACTTGATGCTTAATCTTTTTAAAATGGGTGGATATCATGAAACAGCTATGTCAAAACAATGCCTGCAAACTTAGATTTGTTTGGTTGGCAATTCTTAGGCCAGAGTAATTTAAAAATGATTGCATTTTGTCAAAATAATTGATGCTGATAGTTTTGAAAGCATATTTATTTAAAAAATGCTGCTCTCATATTGTCATTTGAGGGAGAAAGATCATAAGGTTATCATGATTTTACATAGAGGAGAGCAAATTTTTCAAGAATATCCTGAATGTGCAATTCTACGGCATGTCATGTTAAGCAATGCAAATGATTTTTTAAAAATTAATGATCTTTAAAAGAAATATTTTTCATTAAAATAAAATGCATAACCAAAGCATTGACTCATAGCTGCCTGTGCTGTCTGTAGACTATTTGTCGAGTGTAAGGGGAACTGGAGCCCTGCCTTGGTTTATGGGGTGACAGTCGCAAGGGTGCAGCATTTCTCATTTTACTGTTTCTAGGTATCAAACAGAAGTCTATTTCAAGACTTTTTCTGTGCCTATTCATTTAAGTCCTTGAACATTTCAAACCTGTATTTTGCATAAATTAGAAATACAAGTGATAGTTTCACCTTAGTTTAACAGACATTTCTGTTTGCCTTTCCTCATCTGTATTTCATTGAGTTTTCATGGGTATTAAGTAATGGCCAGGATAGCCTAGAAAGCACATTCTTTTTTTCCTTTCCTTTCCTAGAGTCTGTGCGTGTTCACACCGCCTGGAATAAAGGAAGGAAAACCTAGACTCATCCCCGCCGGGCCCATAGCCCAGGGCACTACCGTCTCTGCTTATGTGGCCAAGTCCAGGAAAACGCTGCTCGTAGAAGACATCCTTGGGGTAAAGGTTTTTGATTTTGTGACAGTTCTAACCTGAAGTACTTAATGAAGAGGGATAACATATCATTTTGGTGTTATAGTTTAGGCATTTTCATTAAAATGAAAGTATCAAATCAAGTTACAGAGCTGTAAATGAATTTGTATTTAATTTTTATACTTTGAAAATTGTATCTTATGTATTCACTAAAAGATAGATTTGAAGAGTTCTTACGTTTTTTGTTTTTTGTTTTGTTTTGTTTAGTTTTTTTGGTACCGGGAATTGAACTCAGGACTTGCGCTTGCCAGGCAGGTGCTTATGCCACTGAGCTATATCCCTGGCCAAAGAGTTCTTATGTTAATACATGCTAGTATTATTAAATTGAAAAACACATGTTTTCTATTGGGCATGGTGGCCCTTGCCTGTAATCCCAGCAGTCGGGAGGCTGAAGCAGGAGGATGGCAGTGAGTTTGAGGCCAGCGTGGTCTACATAGTGAGTTCAAGTGAGACCCTGTACATCTTGCCAGGATGTACATGAATGAATTATTAGTTGCCATGTGACAGACTACCCTGGATTTTAGTGGTGTTGTACAGTGTCCACTTGTTATTTCTCATGAGTCCCAGGACTGGCCTCTTCTGCTGGTCCGGCTGCAGTTAGCGGGCTCGCCCGTGAGTCTGGAGTCAGCTGCAGCAGTTAGTGCTGGCTGCTCTCAGATGGCCTAAGCTCTCCCTGCACTCCAGGAAGGCCAGCCAGCTACATGCTCTTGCATGGTAGCAAGAACCTGAGAGAAGTAAAGATAGGAGTTTTCAAGTCTCTGCTCATACCAGCTTCCCTGCTCTCCCGTTAGCCGCAGTGGAGACCTGAGCAGGCCCAGGCTTAGTGTGGGAGGGGCCATGAAAAGGGTTTGGCTTCAGACAGGCAAAACAAAGCCGGCCTCATGTGCAGTTACTCTGCCACAGTGTATACATGCAGACTTTTAATAGTGCATCACTATAAGGAGCATAGCTTTGAGCACGAGAAGTACAAGCAAGTGTATAGATAGAAGGAATTTGCTCCCAAAAAGCAGTAATTGGAGTCTTGAAACCCGAGTTTTAATTTTGATTAAAATTAAAACTCTAATGATCTCTATCACTGTGAACAAATTGGGAGGTTACCCTATATTTCTAGAAGAGAACGTATGAGAGTGATCAGGGGAAATAAGATTAAAAGTAGATCTCTGTATGTTTTCATTCGAAAATCTATTGTGTGTATAAATTTTCAGAAAAGTTTGTACAAGTATAGATTTACAGTATGTTTTGGGTCATAGAAAGTTCTAATTCATGCCCATGAGCTTCATATAGATAGTAGAAATTGTGTAAGTAGAATTTGTGTTTGTAATATTAATTCATTTTATTTCCCTGTACTTCCTTGGAGTGATTTTGCTAAGCTAGGAGCTTGTCAGTGACCCATTTTCTATTTTTAAATAAAAGAAATAATAATTACTAGGTCTTTGAATACCTAATATGGGCTTTTGAATTTCAGTAAAGTTGACTGTTGTCAGCATAGACCTTCATGTTATTCTCATTTTACAAATAGAAGAGATGTATATACATAATTTTCTTCATGCAGTCTTTGCATGAGGAGTGATTTTCACTATCACATGATACCTGTGAGAGTTTAGGATAGTTCTGGCATAGAAGATGATGAATGAACGTCAACCTGTATGATCACTTTTATTATTGCACTGAATTCACATACACCATTCACTCATAAAGTTTATTCCATATGAGGATAAAGAAACACTAGAGCAGTATTGGTGAACAGGTTCCGTATTGCTAAAAATAGGCATTTTGAAAATATACTGTAATTGTCATCATTTGGTTTTCCTTTGAAAAGGACTTATTATTAATTCCACATATCATTCCAATTTCTGACGGAAATGAGGGCCATAACATAATCATTTCACTGAATTTCTATGTTTTTCCCTTTTGCTTTTCAGGATGAGCGATTTCCAAGAGGCACTGGACTGGAATCAGGGACTCGTATCCAGTCTGTTCTCTGCTTGCCGATTGTCACTGCGATTGGTGACTTGATTGGCATTCTTGAACTGTACCGGCACTGGGGCAAGGAAGCCTTCTGCCTCAGTCATCAGGAGGTGAGGACGGCACCTTGCTGCCTAAGACGGATGCCACGGCTAGCTCACCTCTGGTGACTGTTAGTGTTGCGTGAATGTGTGAATCAATATTGGAAACCACCATGTGCTTCACAGTGTCTTGATTCTAATAGTAATTTAAACAATTCTAGCAATGATTTAAAAAACAGTTTGATTCTGCAGTTGTTTATAGGGGAAACTGATTAAATTAGAAACGGAGTCTTTTCTCTATAACAAAGTAGTTTACCAATAAAAGTCAGTCATTCTGTGAATCACTTAAACCAGTGGGAGGACTCTGAAAAGTTTTTAAGTAATGGATATCTTTATGTGTTCTTAAAAGTTCTCTTGCTATATTGTGCTCTGAAAAAAAGTTTTAATGTCAAACATATCAGGAAAACATTCCCTATCCACTGAATTAGAGTTGGCTCCTTAATGCTAACTCCAGATCCTAAAATGTTACCTCTCTCATATCCAGTGTGAACCGAGTCCCTGCAGTGGCCTCACCTTGTGCACTGCCTGAATGAGCCCGCCCCTCACCCAGCCTGGGCGCGGGGACGTGGACAGTGGCTGCCTTACCTTTCGCCCGCGCTGGATGCTCTGTCCCTCTGAGGACGCCAGAACTTCCTCTCCTCTGTCCTGCATGTTTTTGTGTGCGGGAGGTGTTGCCCCCGGTAGACTACACATCAGTGCTTCCTTCTGGTGTTACCTGGCTCTCCCCCAGCAGGACAGGAGTGCTCTTGCATTTTCTTGTTTCCTGCTCTGCCTCCAGCACACAAAACACTGCCTGGAACCCAGCAAGTATTTGTCAAATAAATAAATAATGTTTAAAATGTAGAACAGATAGTAATTTGAAAGCTTGTCAGCTACTAAATACACTATGACTTTTACTTCTTAGAAATACATGATTTAAAATGATCATTGGAAACCGGTAAAATAGTATTTTTGTTAAACTGAATAATTTTCACTTTCATGTTAAAATCATTGGGCAACATCTCTCTTAATCAGTTGATCTTGCATTTTATCCAATACTAAGATGAAGATGAGAAATAAATAGAAGGAGAAAATATAAAATAGAAACTTTATTAATACTTGGTACTTTATATTTCCACAAAATAGTCAAAAGCTTGGTGACCTCAAAAAATTTGTCATCATGTGGCTAGTGGGAATTTATTACATATAACATTTTTGTGGTTTTTTTGTTTTAGGTTGCAACAGCAAATCTTGCCTGGGCTTCAGTAGCAATACATCAGGTGCAGGTGGGTTCTATGGGATGGTTTTTTAGTTGACTCTTTAGAAATTTACTAAATTACTTTGAGCACTGGGGATTAGAATACAGGTTAATAGATAACCCAATGCTTTATATTTTGATACTAAATTATTTCATTATTTCTAAAAATTTGTATTTATTCAGTCTCCTATATTTACTTACTCTTTATCTTAAATATATTCCATTTACATTCTATCTCTCTATCTATATATATTTTATAAATAATTTATGCAATAAAGATGATATGTCCCACTATGGTTTTTGCCTTCCACTGAAAACCTAAGAACAAATTCCTACTGGGAATTTCATTGATATTTTTATAATTCTGTTCCCTAATTTAAATTATCCTATACACTCAATGGTAAATGAAGCATTACTCCTAAATTTAAGACATATAGTTTATTATGAAGGTGTGGTATAGCTTAAGAATCACAGACTACCTGCTGTTTCTCTGGTAACCAGACTTGGAAGTTCAGGAGAACAGTAGCAGCGCAGCACTTTGTATCTTGGTGTGCTCTCTTGTTCTCTCCTGCTCTCTCCTTTTCTCCCTCCTTCCCTCTCTCCCTCCAGTCATTTTGTTGTCTAACTCTGGTTCAGGAAAGGGAAACCCAGGTCGACAAGGAACTGTATGGTACAAAAATAGGATTGTAGGGTAGTATGTAGAATAAATAACAAGGACTTCTTAGATAACCAAGTATAGGTAGATTATGTGCCTAATTAAAATTTTTTAAAATATATAGTAGTGGTAGGAAGAAGTGAAATTATCATTATTTGCAGATGACATAATACTCTAAATAGAAGACCCCAAAAAGTCTACCAAACAACTTGTAGATTTAATGTCTAAATTCAGTAGTGTAGTAGGATACAAAGTTAACACTCAAAAGTCAATAGTATTCCTGTACATAAGCAACAAAGTCACAGAGAGAAAAATTAGGGAAAGCACACCTTTCACAATAGCATCTTAAAAAATGAAATACTTAGGAATCAATTGAACAAAGGATATAAAAGATCTACACAGTGAAAATTACAGTACCCTAAAAAAGGAGATCTAAGAGGATATTAGAATATGAAAAGATCCAACATAGTGAAAATAGCCATCCTCCCAAAGCTGCTATACAGATTTAATGCAATACCAATGAAAATATCATTAGCATACCTCACAGATCTAGAGAAAACATTGCAAAAATTCATTTGGAACCGAAAGAGACCGACAATAGCCAAAGCAATTCAGGGCAACAAAGACAAGTCAGAGGTCATCACAGTCCTAGACCTGAAATTGTAATACTAAGGAACTATTATAAAATCAACATGGTATTGGCATAAAAACAGACCTGAAGATCAATGGAACAGATTAGAAAATGCAGATGCAACCCCAAACACACTCAGCCACCTTATCTTTGACAAAGGGGCCAAACATGTTCACTGCAAGAAGAATAGCCTCTTTAATAAATGGTGCTGGAAAAACTGGCTTTTCACATGCTGAGGACTAAAACTAAACTCATGTCTATCACCAGTGCACTAAACTAAAGTAAAAATGGATCAAAGATCTAAATAGTAAAATAGAAACAATAAATCTACTGGAAGAGCAAGTAGGTAGAAATCTTGAAGACATAGGTGTAGGCAAAGACTTAATGAACAAAACCCAGACTACAAGGGAACTACTACAAAGAATCAACAAATAGGATCTCACCTTATTAAAAAGCTTTTGCACAACAAATTAAGCCATTAACCAGGGAAAAGGCAATGAACAGAGTGGGTAAAATTATAGCCAGTTGTCCCTCAGACACAGGACTTATCTCTAGACCGTAAAAAGAATTGAAAAAAATCAATCCCCCCCAATTCAAAGACCCAATCCAAAAATGGGCATCTGAGATGAATACATACTTCTCAGGTGAAGGAATACAAATGACAAATACATGAAAAAAATGTACAACATCATTGTTTATTTGAGAGATGCAAAGTTTAACAACACTGAGATTCCATCTCACTCCGGAAAGAATGGCTATCATCAAGAAATCAACCAGCAACAAATGCTGGAGGGGCTGTGGGGAGAAAGGAACTCTTCACTGTTGGTGGGAGTGTAAACTGGTACAACCACTATGAAAATTAGTGTAGCACTCCCTTTAAAAACTAGGATTAGAGGTCCCATTCAACCTAGCTATTCCCCTTTGGGGTATTTTTCCAGAAAAATTAAAAAACATCATACCACAGTGGTATATGTGTACCCATGTTTATAACAGCACAATTTCTAATAGCTAAAGCTTGCAAACAACGCAAATGCTCATCAACCAAGGAGTCAATAAAAAGATGTGAAATAAATCAGACCTATATGAGTAAACATCATATTGTCTCACTAGTGTGAGAAACTGAACAAGCAAATAAGATCCAAAATGTGCAATAGATATTGTGAACTGGGAAGAAACTGTTCAAAAGGAAAGACAAACTGGTAGAAAGGAAGAAAGGAAAGAACAAAAATAGACACAAGATAGTTAAGATCATTATACAACAAGTTTCTTTTAGTTCATTGAAAAGAAAGACATGCGCTAGTATTGTTTGGAGAAGATTATCATGCCTATATTTTTTACTCTAAATAACTCCTACAAAGACAACAATACGCAATGTATTAATTAGTGTAAACAAAATTTAAAAATACGTTGTAAACAGCAATAGAGGGTAGTCTACTTAGATCTGAGTCCTGGCTGTACTACTGGTTAACTCTGGTTCCTGAGCAAGATTTTTAACTTCTTTATGCTCAGTAATAAAGTTTTAAGTCTCAACTATATAGCATTGAGTGATAATTAAATGAGTCAATAACTATGCAGTGTTCAGAACAATATTTAGTACATTAATGCTCAAATATTTATAGCTATTAGTATTATTCATTATAAGCCAAATGATTGTTATAATTCATTGTATTTCTGAAAGTCTTATTTTAAATAAGTGGCAGTATCTTATAACTGATAGCCATTGTTTTATATGGCAGGTATGCAGAGGTCTTGCTAAACAGACTGAATTGAATGACTTTCTACTAGATGTATCAAAGTAAGTGCTCATTTCAAAGGATGCAGTAGCCCTTATTGATCCGTGGTTATACATACCGGCCCTGATGGTGATAGATGACCAGCCACCAGCAGCAACTTCATTATATAAGTAATCTGAGAAGAGTGATTAATCATATTTTAGATTTAAAAATTATATCCTCATCCATCTTTATAAGTGAAGAATTGCAGATATATATATGTCATGATCTTGATTTTCAATTTGATATATTTTCTCAATAGATTCTCTTAGAACATATGGATACACTAAATACCTATTTTTTTAGGAGACTATTGACAATAGGAGTGGAGGTGTCTCACTAAAATTTTCCCCAAATGTCCTGTCTGGCATGTTCTAATAATGTCAGTTTAACAGTGTTACAGTATTATTGTTTTAACTTTTCTGTGTCTAGTATCTCAGGTGCCTTTTTGACAAAATATTCCATTTCCCTGAAGTTTGATCTAGAAAAACTCCTCAGGCTCATAGTGAAAGTAATAATAGGTGCTTATTTAATTCTAGGTTCATGTTTGATTTGCTTGCTGCAGGAGAGGTCTTCTATTTATCTGATCTAATTATCTGATCACATATCATATATCAGATCATATATCTGATCTATCTCTATCTCAAAACCTAAAAAAGGTCCCAGGATGTGGCAACCTCAGGGACATGTCCTTGTACAAGTTACTAAAGGAGTAATGCTCATGTTCTTCCTCAGCCTCCAACAAATGTAATGTTACTTGTAGCTTACATATTGCTGGGCTCTGAAAAATTTTACCCATCAAAAGTAGTGGAATACTCATGAGTAATTAGTCTGAGTTCGTGTTACATCTGTTTTCTGAAATGTGAAATTAGAGAAATGTGGAACTGAGGAAGTTCTCCTTTGGTTGCCTAAGCCAGCTCTTGTTTAAAGCCAGTTTAAACAGTGTCTCTGAGACACATGACGATATGTGTTCACCTTCTGTGATACTTTATTCCCTGCTGTTGTTTCCTCCAGTAGCACACTTATTTACTTCACCACCCTCTCTATGTAGTGTATTCCTTAGTGTACAGTGAATTGTGTCCTAAGTCTCAGTGACTTCAAGCTAAATAATTTGCCTCTTAAATAAGTCACTGTTCATTGCTGTAAGTTATCTTAGTTTTGAGAACATTTGCATGAACCTAAACTTAAAGTGTTATGTAGCCAATGGCCCCATATTGAGTACCTTTTATGTTTTTGTTTTATATATCTGTGAAATATTTGCTTGCCTTTCATAATGATGGAAATATATTTCATTTATGTATTCATTAGATCCTTGCTACTATTTGTAATGTATTTCTTCTCAAGTACATTACAATGCTTCCCCTTTTTTGTGTGTGCACTATTGAGGATCCAACCCAGGCATTCCTGCTGAGCTACATCTGTGGCCATTTTTGTTTTTCCAGTTTGAGACCAATCTTACTAAGCTGCTAATTTGTCCAGATGGGGCTTGAATTTGCAATTTTCCTGCCTCAGCTTCCCAGAGTGCTGGGATTATAGGCTTGAGCCACTATACCCAGCTGCATTACTTTCTCAATACAACTAATTTAACTCTCTCCAGTTTTCAGTAATAATTTGTATTTTAACTATATGTATGAGAATTAGCAAATCTAAACATTTTCATTTCAGATCCAAGTTATTCATGGAAATATTAAATGTGGTGAATCCAGTTTTAGTCCTGCTTAGTTTTAGTTAAATACTACAACCTTTCTCTCTTCCTGCTTACTTAGGATAGTTTCTGAAGGTGTCCTTTGGAATCTGAGTCCTTAAGACAATAATAAAGTTTAATTTGTTTTTTAAACATAATATTGTTTCTACAGAAGGACAGGAATCAAAGGACACATATCTTCATGTTTATTTAAATACAGAGAAATCTAGAAAATGTGTTAAAAGTTTAATGTACTGGATCTCAATAAGAATACTTACAAGATTTATGTTCCTTTCTTTCAGAACATATTTCGATAACATAGTCGCAATAGATTCCCTACTTGAACACATAATGGTAGGTCACCATTTGTTTATAAAGTGATTCTATTTAACCCTTTAATCCATGATCCTAATATGTGTGTGACATTTTATGCATATTAGACATATGCTCTTTGAAGTACATATTATGAAAATGTGGTGCTTAAGAATCCATTTTGATATACTTGTCACTTCTGTTGAAATTTACAGAGAAGTGGTTTGGATAACATTTTACAAAATGTCTCAGTTTTTTCTTTAATGGAGAGCTGAGCTCTGAAAGACTCAGTTCTTTTTCATTGTTTTTACATATAGGTACCTTTTACATTTACCTTTTACATATAAGTAGCATTAGGGACTCCCACTTGATTGTTTTTGATCTTAAAGCTCATTCTACTTAGTATTAGTCTTAATTATTCCTCTATCCAAGCAGACACTTTGAGCAGACAGGCACAGGAAGCAGAGCTACAGCCATCTTTCCTGTGTTACTAATTTAATACCCTACACACTTCATTAGGAAAGTGGTTCCAGGTCCTCAAAGTGGTGTGTCTGTGTGCCCCACACACGGGAATGTTTATGACCTGCTGTGCACTTTGATAAAAGCTTTTTTTCTTTCCCATTTTTATGGTTCATTTTTAAAATACAGTAGTCTTCTGCGATAAGAAGTTTCTTCATGAAGAGGTATTCTGCTGTACACTGTTCTATTTTTCCTTGACATTAAAAAAATAAATGTCAAATACTATATGTGCAGTGACTTGTAGAGATAGCAAGTTTATTGGGAGTAATCGTATACTTACGTTAATATTAGGGGTTATTGATTTAATATACATTCCTTTTGTGATTGGATCTCGATGATTTTACTTGAAAACATAATTGATTGTACATTTAAGTAACTTTCTTTTATGGTAAAATGTTAAGGTATTTGTAAAACAGGGAATAGTAGTAAGAATAAAATATAAATATATAATGCACATGGATATATCACATATACTAGTGACATAAGAAGCACTGACTTGTTAGTCCTTTCTTATTAATATTAATGCTTTAAAGTAGCATTTTTGAACTATAATTCATGTACCCTATAATCCACCACTCAGCATATTCAATTTTATCATGTAATGTTGAACCACTTTACATAGCTAGTGTGAAGCCTATTTAGCTGTAATCTGTTCTTAACTCATGGATTGGTTGTAGTATTTATTTTCAGCTTTTGCCTCTGTTTTAACTAAGATTGCTCAACAGTTTTGTTCTGTCATTGGCAATATTGATATTGAATTATGTTGCACTTATAAAATGAGAAATATTCCATTCCTTTCTGTGATTAAAGTGGCTTAAGTAATATATGAATTACTTATTACTTTTAAAGTTTGTTATGAATTAGCTGTAAATCTTCTTGGATCTTATTAGGGTTTAGAACTCTGATTCCCCTTCCAGTTTCATTTGGGCTTTTGTCTCTCCAGGGTTTCATTCTCCCATTTCTGCTGTCATGTTTCTTGGCTACCTCTGATCAGTTCCTCTACCAGGTAGTAAATAGCTGGCGTGATGCAGTGGTGAGCAAAAACCTTGACCGTCTCTGCTTTTGCTGAGTTTATAGGGAGACAGACATGAATCAAGCATCTAGTGAATGTAAAATTGCTGTCACGCGCAGGGTTGGCTGTGAAGGGGCAGAAGGTTGTGCGGAGAAGGCTCATGGGAAGGTTTGATGGAGAAAAGCAGAGGCAGGCTTTTCTGATGCTGTCACCACATCCGAGGCTTTGTGGTGGTGAAAGACCGTGGTCGCCCATGGGAGGGAGAGCAGTGTGTTGCAGAGTAGAAAGGGCACTCCAGAGACGGCAGCATCAGCCTGGGTGGGAATATTCACTTCAAGGCTTGGAAGCCAGTGGCTATGTGATCAGAATTGTGCTTTAAAAAGAGAATTCTGGGTTAGACTAGGAGGCAAGAGGAGAGTGAGCTTAGAATTTCTGAGATGTCTTGTTATAATACAGATAAGATTTCATTTTTCTGGATGAGCAAAACTGGATTATCTCTAAATTCCTAGGCAATTATTTCACCTACCTTAGTGTTTCTCAATGGGGTGATACTCGGGTTTTGGAGAAACAGTTTGTCCTTAACAAGATGGTCCTGTGCACGATAGTGATAGCACCCTTTGCTCCAAGGGACCAAATGCCAGAGAACCTTCTCTTCCCTGCGTGGTGGGGCCGTGGCCCTCCACCTGTTTTCGGATGCTCTGTGGCCAGGCGGTTCTGCTGCTAGCTGAGACTCACTCGCTACTCCTTTATATTTTTTGGATCTGTGAATGTTTATAACAGAGGCATACACACATACATTGACTCTGTGTTTTTGTTTTTTGTTTTTTTTTTTCCAGTACCGGGAATCGAACTCACGACCTCGCACTTGCCTGGCAGGCGCTGTGCCGCTGAGCTAAATCCCCAGCCCGACTCTGTTTTTAAAATTATCCCTTTTGCATTTCATCTCTAATTTCTTAGAAATTGTTTAGTAACAGATTTTATAGTTTCATTGTAATGCTGGTGATGCTTTTGTTCATCAGTCTTTCTTGGACCCCACGTCTCCCTTGCTTCCTTACGTTAATCTCTCTGTTGTTCTACTTGAGCACATCTCCCATTCCGACATCGTCCAAAGGTAGTAATTTTCTGAGTACTGTGCACTTCTAAAGTATCCCATTTTGCTATGTGTGAATGCTAGATTAACTTGGTGAAGAACATAACCAAAATATGTCTAGGTATTTTTTTAAGTCCTTTTTCAGCATCCAAGGTTAATTTCAAACTAAACATTTATTACCTGGGGAGAGTGAAAAGTACATGCATATTCAGTCATTTATCTTAAGACAGAAATCTTTCCTACTATCTATAATTAATTTTTTGGTTCATTTTGTATAGTTTCTGACAAATTTATTAACATTATCCGCAAATAATAGAACTTTTGTCTCTTCAGATGTGTATACTTCACATGTCTTTTTCTTACCTAACTGTGGTTGATAATTATATCTGTGACTTATTCATTAAGGTCATTTTCTTAGCTTTAATGGAATGCACCTGATATTTTACTCATATTTTATTATCTAGTATTATATAGATAACTACGTTAAAAATATTAAGCTTTATACAGATAGTAATTTTTTTCTGCCGTCCTGGTAACTGAAACTACGGTCTTGTGCATACCAGACAAGTGCTGTGCCCCTGAGCTGCATCCCCAGGCCCTGCTTTCCTTCTTTCAAAGATTTCATCATGATTGTTTGCTGAATTTAGTCATGCAACTCTGATCATCGTAGAAGTTTATCTTGTTGCTAGAGTGAATTATAATAGACTTTATGATATGGAACAGTTCTGAACAAAATATATTTTTTAAAAATTTAATGTTTCTTCATTTGAGAAATTTGATGTTATCATTTTCACTTACAGTTTTACTTGTTTCCAAGATAAATGGCCGGTGACTTTCTTTTTTATACCCTGCCAGTGTTCAGTATCACTGACATAGCAGGATCATAAAAATTCTGTTCATTTCTGAATTCAGGAAAGTTTGAATTTTTGAAAATTTAAGATTTTTAAAGAATTCATATTTGAAGCTATGGGCCTGGTGTCTTTTGTGTGGATATTTCTTCAACATTTTTTGAATTTAACTTTATTATTATAGTTCAGTTCATATTTTCAACTTCTTGTAAACTTGTCTTTTTTTTTCTTGAAAAATTATTCATATTATCCAGATTTTCAAAATTATTAGTGCGTGTTTGCCAAACTACTTACTAAGAAACTACCAGGACCCTAGGCAATAGGCATATAAATTTCACTGAATATAATTTAATCTTTAATGTAGAACATATTTACCGTTACTGAATAATTCAAGGTCTTATGAGTTTGTAAAATACATGGCTGATTCTACTATATTTACCAACAACGCTCCCTTTGCTCTCCCTCTCCTTTTGTACCAGTTATTCTTCTCAAATATTAATTGAGTTTTAGGTTGTAGAGATGCCATGTATGGGAAGCCAGAGTTGGCACAGTTACTTTTCAAAACAAAGGCCGTGTAGTAAAGGTGTATGTTTTAGGGTTGTGCTCCCTTGCAGATGTAGCAGCCATAAACAAGACAGGTACTTTGTTTACAAACACAGGCTTGCCTCCTGGACTGTAGTTAGTGTCCCCTAGGCTAGGCTTTGCTCCAGGAATCTGATATACTGTGGCGAAAAGAAGCAATTGCTACTGTCACAGTGTTGGCTGGCTGCTGGAGGCAAAAAGGAAACTGAAGCTCTGATGCTTATGGACTTCATGTCCTCTGTCCCTCCACTATAGGCCTAGCCAGTGTTTGCAGAATGAATAGGGACATACAAACCGATAACAGCAGCAAACACAGTCATGTAGTCCGGCGATGGCAGGGGTATATGAAGTGCTCTGATTTATTTCTGTTGAATCTATAATTTAGTTTTACATGAGATTTTATATTTCCCCCTGACCACAAGGGGGCTCATGTTCCTCTTGCATAGATTTTTGTGATGGCTGTTGTACTCTGAGGTTTAGGTCTTTTTTCCCTAAGGAATAATTTCATGGTTAATGATCTGGAGAGTTGAAGTTGCCAGAATTCTCAGTTTACTTAAATACACTATTTATGACATATGTATGGGTCCCAGGCTACTAAGGACAGTGAGATATGTTAGGCATTCAAGAAATATTTATTGAAAGAACTGGATGAACAACAACAAAAAAGGATGAAATGCACACATTTTGCATTTAGAAATGGAAACACAGCTGGGTGTGGTGGTGCATGCCTTTAATCCCAGCACTTGGGAGGCTAAAGCAGGAGGATCCTTGTGAGTTTGAGGCCAGTCTGGGCTACAAAGTGAACTCAAGGCCAGCCTGAACTGCATAGCAAGACCCTGTCTCAAAAAGACAAAAAACAAAACAAAGAAAAGAAATGGAAGCACATATTTATTATAAAAGCATGGGCAGCAGAAGCTGAGTACGAGTTCAAATGCTAGAGTCCCTGTTGTAAGAGGCAGGTCAAGTTAGATTACTTCTCAGGGCATCAGTGTTCCTTGCATGTAAAGTGAGGATAAAATTTTTCCCTGACTCAATATTGTTATTGTGAGAATTGAGTAAATTAATGTATAGAAGTACATTAAATGTACTTGGCACAAATTGTATATTTAATAATCGTTACAAGTTTCTAGACACCAGAGCAAATAAAATTCAGCTAGTGTGAATATCAAACTGTATGTCTCCTTGAAGATTATATTTCATTGTTTTTACAAATATTATTCACAGATATTTATCAGTTAGAATGGATACTGGCTTTGGTGCTGACAAAAGCTCAGACCAGGGCACCAGGAAAAGCCTGGGAGGTTCTGGAAAAGTTTCAGATGGCTTAGGGCTCCTAGGAAATCAGTCCAGTAGCTGTTTATGAACCAGTGTGAAAGTGTATTAGTGTTTCAGCATCCAGCTGAAACTGCATGTGTGTGAGCTGTTTGTTCCTGTTGCTGTTCGTTGGTATTAACACATAACAGTAACTAACACACACGTAATATTTACCTATAAGTTTATTTAAAACACTAATTTCGTTCCTAATCAAGGTATAGAATAGCTGAAATTGATATTTACTTCATGATAAATTTCACCTGTAAGTTCTTTAAATTCCTCATTGGCTTACTCTTGTTTTGTCATTTGTCTTTAGATATATGCAAAAAACCTGGTGAATGCCGATCGTTGTGCACTTTTCCAGGTAGACCATAAGAACAAGGAGTTGTATTCAGACCTTTTTGATATTGGAGAGGAAAAAGAAGGAAAACCCGTCTTCAAGAAGACCAAGGAGATAAGGTACAGCTAGAGTGGAACATCCTAGGCTCTGGTCACAGATGTGCAGGTGTTCTGTTACCCACTCTTCTGTGCCTATTCACAGGTATGCTGACAATACTTGTCATACTGTGATATCATTCCCACCAGGACCCGCCTCCTGAAGGTAGTACTTCTGGGAATGACATTGCAGTGCCAGCGAAACCACACCTAGGAAGCGTTAGCGTCACTCCTGGAAATGCCGTCTTCCGGAGGCGGTCCTTTTGGAAATCATGTTGGAAAAACTTACTAGTGCTCCCAGGTAGGTAAAGATACACTCCACCTAGAGTCTGCAGGCTTCTCCATGTTTAGGAGCAAGGACAAGCGTAACCACTTTGGCCCACACCTCTTCCCAGCCTATGGGGCTGTTTCACCAAGGTCCAAATAGTAGAGGACACTGATCTGGTGTGTTTGACAATGTAAATACATTTATTAACTGGCCATGTGGTTGGTTTTATCAGTGTACATTTTTGTTGCACTTTGAATCTAAAGCTTTCTTTGTCCTGTGAGTGGGAGCACTTGTCACTTGAATAGAGTGGAGTTCATTTGTTGGTGGAGGTGTGGTGGCCTGGAAACCTGCCGGGAGCACTGTCACGTACTTTTCTGAACCGCGACAAATGTGCGGGGGCTGGAGGCCCCTTCACACACTGGCGGGAAGTTCCCGTTCACGCTGGCATTCCCTCTCCTCACGTGTCTCCTGTGGCGACTCTTGTACATAACATTATAAAGTTCTCTAGTGAAATACTCACCCTTACTGAGGATTGCTGTGTATTTGCAGTCTGTCACATGAAGGAACTCTTGTCCTCAGAGAAAAATTGTGACCTAGAAGGTGTCCCACTGCTGCTGAGCATCTCTGCTTCTCTGTCTCTGGGATGACAGATCCTGTTATCCACAGTCACCCAAGTCTGATTCACAAACTGTATATATGTGTTTTATAATTGAGTTCTTAATTGTTTTTTTTAGATCTCAGTATTGTCAATCTGAATACACTCATTTAGTTAAAATCATTTCTCTTGCTTAAGTTTTGAGTGTTATCTAACTACTCTGGTATTGATCGCATTTTAAAAATAGAAACCTAAAGTCTGCATTTACACATATGGGAAAAGCAGAGGAATGTGCTTACGATAACCTTAACATGACTGGCTGATGCCAGACACTTAGTGGGGGAACACTCCTTCAGTGTGGGCGCCTCTCACCACAGAGGGGAAGCGATGGAGAATGTGGGAAGGGAACAGTTCCGACAGCTCTCAGACCAATGCCCACAGCACGGTCACCAAGTGGGTTCTGATTCTTGGTCCATGGGCTCTGATGCATTGTGTTCATGCTGGTCAAGGCACAAGAAAGCCAAGAAGACATGCTTAAGTTTTATGCAAGTCTTGGGTCACCTTCTGATGCTTTAATTCTATTTTATGTCAATTCTGTTTTGAGTTTTCTTGATATTCCTTAGGGTGAAGCTTTATTTCAGTAGTGATTATTTCCTATAATGTCAAAAATATAATATGAAAATTACTTTTGAACTATTGAAAATACAGATATTGAGAGTTTTACATATCTTTAAATTTTGAAATGAGTGTATATGTGATAATGAAGTTAATGAATGAATGTGCAAAATATTTATAAGTGTGAGAGTATATTTACAAAAAGAAAATATTGATATTAGTGTCAAAAATATAATTATATTCAGTTAATGCTTGTATCTTGATTGTTTTAAAATTTAACAAATTAGAGAAACAGAAGTACTTCTGTAATATTTGTATATAGTACTTGGATTGGAAACAACATAAAATTCAAGTCCTGTACATCTATACATATAGAATCTATACGTCCTCTATACACACAGAGTCTGTGAATTTGGTTATATGTGTAGTGGAAGTCACAGTGGTACGGACATGCATTTTAGTTTTTATTGATCCCATACTATCTTGAGAATATTGGCAAGTTGGTGAACTCATATAGGCCTCGGTTCACATCTCACTGAGAAACTACTAAAAAAATTTATCTTGAAGCAAATTGTAGACTACAAGGTACTTTGCAAATATAAGAGAGTATAAATAATCAGTGCTGGAGATCACTAATTTTTATTTTTAATTTGTGATCCAATTATATTCCAATGTATTGTGAAGTACATCTTAAAACATGTTTCTTAAATGATCACTGTGTGCTTTAATTTGATATATTTTATAAGGTGATTTAGGATATATAAATGAAAAGGTAATAAGTGCATGTAAAATAAATCATGGCTTTTTATTCAATATTTGATAGCGATGAAGTGTTTCAGAGTTATTGTACAGCATCAGTATTTTAATCAGCCTGTCTCTCTCTTTTATATATGCAGATTTTCTATTGAGAAAGGGATCGCTGGTCAAGTGGCAAGAACAGGGGAAGTCCTGAACATCCCAGATGCCTATGCAGATCCACGCTTCAACAGGTGAGAGGGCACGCCTCCTCCTGCAGTTCCTTCCGGCCTATCCTGCTCAGGAAAGTCTCCTCCGGCCTGCTCCAGTTCTTCCACTCTCAAGTCAGTTATTTTGTCCTCATTTTTTTTTCTTCTGTGAACCAACTATTATAAGCAGTCATGTTCAGACTGCTTATAAAATGAAGTATTCTAAGCTGGGAATATGTAATAATGTATAGCTACAGGTGTTTAAATTATACAAACAGATTTGGCTGGTGGCACTAGAGTGATTTTGCTTCACTCTGGTGTCAACATTTTGTTCTGCCATATTCTCTATCAAACCACACGCTAGAAGCTGCCACACAGTAGTGATAAAGTTACATACTTTTCAGATTGACCAGTTTGATTGTGAATTGTGGTTCTGACATTTGTTAGTACAAGAGTGGGCTGGGATGAGTTACATAATCTGAGATTCAGTTTCCTCATATTTATACTGGGTGTGATAATAGACACGTTATAGTATTTTTAAGATTACATTTAAAATTCATAATATTTGGAAACCTGACACAAAGTAGGAACTCAACAAGCCACAGCTTTCATTGGATATTATTAACGTTGAACGTTAAGATGGCTTGTAAAGATTTTTTGTTTTCCTTTGACTTTCTTTGGAGAACTAGAAGCTATATAAACTCATTTTAATAAGTCTCAAGAAATTTAAATTCTCAGAATGGATGTTATGATTGTTAGTGGGTAATATTTCAGATATTTTGACAATAATAATTAGTTGTTACAGGCATTTGGCTTACTTTGAGAGATAAGCACTAGAAGCAACTGAAAGTTTTTTCATGTAATAATCCACTGATTAATATTAAATATAACTAATTCACATATATGTGAATATAGCTACATTCTAGCAATATATTTCACCTATACCTTGAGAATATACTAAAAATCTTATTTTTCTGTAAAACAGACATATTTCACTGCTTTAATATTGAAAGTCTTTACATAAAAGTTTATGAGTTGGACTGTTCAGAAAATGGAAAGACAACCAATAGAGTGGAAGAAAATATATTCAAAACATACCTGATAATATGTGTCTCTAGAATATGTAAAAAACCTTCCAACCTAATAATAAGATACCCCAATTTAATAAAAAGGCCAAGAGAGTTTGACAGAGAATTCACAAAAGAGGTTATATTATGATCATTAACACATTCCCCATCATTCCTATGTCTTGCTTCCAGGCGGACTGAGTCACTGGTGGTTCTTGCATGGTGGCCCTGCATGACTATACCACTTTTACCACCAGTGGTACAAGCCACGTGATGGCAACAGAGTTGTGTCTTTGCTGGAAAATTTAAACATACACTTAATGAACAGTCTATTAGTCATCTCTGTTCCTAGGTGGTATTGCCAGAACTAATGACACTAAGACATTTGCAGCCCTTCACAGGGCATAATGATAATTGCCAGGAACTTGGTGTTCATAGATAATATTATCCATTCACTGGTGAATGGATGAACAAAGTGTAACTGGCCCTTTCAACAGAGAAAGCTACACAGCATTAACAAGGACCAAAGGATGCAACAGCATGGGTGGGTCTCGGGCACAACACTGGAAATGGAGAGCCAGGCGGTGAGTTCTGCACATGACTTCTTTTGTGGACCTCAGTCCTGTTTACAAAAGCATTTCCTCAGAAGTCAGCAGAACGTTTCCATTAAGGACAAGGTAGTAATTGTCTTGGGCTTTACAGGCTATAAGGTCTTTGTCACAAGTCACGTGGACAATTCCTAAATGAATGGTGTGGCTGTGTTTTATAGGGCAGGAATGGGCTGATTTGGCCAATGGAATGTAGTTTGCTGACCACTGCTGTAAATTTTTAGTATAATGCCCATCTGAGTTTGTTTCACAAATTATCTCTCTCGTATATATGGCCCAGTTCAAAGGAATTTATCACTTTACCACATTTATTATATTTTTTTCTTTGCACTCACCTTGTCTGCTGTGTGATGCCGAACACTAAAAGCCCAACGTAAATCAGAAGTTGTGTATAAAGGTTACTTTAGAAAACTCCTAATAACCGAATAACAAATGAGTTAAAATATTCTTTAAAAGGTTCTAATAAGATACTTTTAGATGTCGCTTTGTATCTGAATTTAGAACCTAATAATACCTTTATAGGTGTTTGTAGTACAAGCGCATACGTTGAGATTTATGATAGAAAGTGACGTTTATTTTCTTCTGGCTGTTCTTTTCCTCTTGGTGATTGCTTCATCTCTTCATGTTCCCTCAGAGAAGTGGACTTGTACACAGGCTACACCACCCGGAATATCCTGTGCATGCCTATTGTGAGCAGAGGAAGTGTGATTGGGGTAGTGCAGATGGTGAACAAAATCAGTGGCAGTGCCTTCTCCAAAACGGACGAGAACAACTTCAAGATGTTCGCCGTCTTCTGTGCCCTGGCCTTACACTGTGCTAATGTAAGTACCAGTTTCTAAAAGTCTTTTACTGTTCGATATTTATAACCTTTTCAACAAACTACGAACTGTGATTGCTGGTAATATGTATGTTAAGAAATGCCTTAATATACCTTGAAAGAACAAAAAAATCTCCTATTATTTTGCATTTATTTCCAGGTGTGAATTTGTTCAAAAAATGAAAATCTATAATTAAAGTGTTTGTGTCAGGCTTATATTTTATCGTGTCTACTGAAATGAGTATGGAAAGTGTTATCCAAACCTTTAATGTTTGTCATATGCACTGCATTTGAGAATCTGGCAAACAATGATACAAATAACTCATGTTTTCACAACGACCAAGGAAGTTTTGCTTATCAGGAAAAGTGAGACACCATTTAGGGTATGTGTCAGACCGATGAAATGTTACTATGCATAGTCTTCACAGCAATCCTGCCATTCACTGAAGAATAAAATCAAGTTCAATTTGTATTTTAAGGTCTCCTTTTTAAAAGGGTATGGTTTGTGATTTTTCTTTTATATTGTTATATTTTAAGTTACATTGAACATTTTTATGGAAATAAAGTATTCCTTTCATGGGATTATTGAAATTTGGAAACTTTAGTAATGTCTTTATAAAACTAAGCCAGCATAAGGGTAGTTACTGCTTTAGTATCTTAGAGAAATTGATTTTTGGGAATAGGAGCTCATTCTGTAGTAGCAGCCACCTCGCTATTGGGAACAGCTGAGAAATAACTAGGAAGAAAAATTGTACAAAATAATACTCTAGTGATAAAGGATAGCCTTGTTAATCCAGTTAGTGCTGTTTAATAGGAGTATCCATCCTCTCTGTTCACAGCATCTACCTTCTGGGGGCATTGTTAGGCTGCTCGTCACAAATAAACTGCTACTGATGGTTTGGCCTTATGTGTGTTAGCATCTGTGTATCCTTCACCAAGATATAAACAGCTTATGTTTCCTATTTAGTTTAAAAGTTGCAAAAGATGTAATTTTCAGTACATTCTAAATATTGGCTCTGCATCATTTTGAAAGTAATCTAATACTAAAGCATCTTAGTAATTTTTTTATAATACTTTTAAAAGCACAATAACCAAATCTTATGATTGGAAAACTTAACATTGTTCATTTTTTTTCTGAACATGTGTATCTGTTATTTCAAAAGTGGTTATTTTATTTTATGCTCTAAAGTATTTTATTAATTATTCTAACATAAAATTATAAGACATATATGTATAGTAAGTGTAAAAAATTCATTGTAGCTTGTGGTGATAGTATATATATTATCAATGTGGTATGTGATCAAAACAATATAATTATATCACAAAATTTTGATAAATAACTGAGTAATAAAAAGTGAAAACATTTAAAATGACTTTAATGAGAATTGTGTCTTCAAACAACAATAGTTAATATGTCTGTTCATGGATTTATTTATAGTTAAAATGAAGCTGTTTAGCATAATTTTTTATACTTTTTATCTTGAAATAATACTACGCCAAAAGCAGTGCTGCAACAATGGTATAAAGGATTCCCTGAGACCTTTACCTATGTTCCCCAGATGTTTTGCTTTGATGAGCTTTGTTTCTTACCAGTTACTTTTCTCTGATCTACCTGTTTTCTGTAACATGTCTCATGTAATGTTTTAGCTTATGTTTCTAAAACCAGAGGCATTACTTTTCTACTGCATAATGAAAACATCAAGAATTACGTATTTGTGCTGTATTAGTATACTTGGACTGTTGTAATAATTACCAGACTAAGTGGCTTTAAATAGTAGATAATCAGTTTCCCAGTGTTGGAGGCTGTGGTCAGGGTTGGTTTCCTCTGAGGCCTTTCCCCTGTGGTTGCCCAGGGCCACCTCCTCTATGTGGCCTCACTTGGATTTTCCTGAGTGTGCACATGCTCGTGCACGCGCGCACACGCCTGTGTCCTCATGTCCTTTCTCATGAGACGCAAGTTATATTGCGGCTTATTTTACCCTAATTACCTCTTTTATGGCCCTGTCTCTAAATTTGGCCACCTTTTAAGATACTGGAAATTAGGGCCTCAGCATGCTTTTTTAGGGGGCACCCGCAGACTGCCAAAGCACAGTACTGTTCGATGGTCAACAGCCCTCTTGAAACACTTTCACTTTAGAACCATTCTTAAATTTTTCTGTGTTTTCTGTGAACTGCTTGTTTTTGAAGCCCAATACTTTGTAGGATGTTTCTTAAATTGGATTTCTGCTGTTTCCTCAGGAGTATATGAGGTTGTCGTGCTGACGCAAATGTCTTTGTGCATCCTATTGGCGGGCCCATGTGTATCACCAGGGATATTCACTTCCTTTACTTGGTGAAGATGGTATCTGAAGGTTTCTGCCCTGAATCTTTCTCAAACTTTTTCCACTGTTTTTTTCCAGAGAATTTGCACATAAAACTCTATTCCCTTACACCCTAGGTATTTATACCTCCTGTCCAACACTACAGAACTCCCAGACACCTCTCATTTCAGTCTCTTGAACATTGTTTTGTGACAGAAATTTAGCTCCTACAATTAATCATTAATTTTATTCCAGTTTGTCCCTTTTCTTTTTAAGGAAGCTGGACGTATTGTTTCCATTTTCAGATAGGAGCAAAAACCCCCACTTATTATATATAATTTCTCTGAACTCAGCCTGAGATAAGATACTAAAAAGTACTGTTAGTTTTATCATCAAAACTATTTTTAATGATCTGTCAGTTGAAACTTTATTTAGGTCCACCTTCAATAGTTTATGGAAACTTTGAATACCATGTTTAGATGTCATTAACACCAGTATTTTATATTACCCTTTGTTTTAAGACATATGACTATTAATAGCATTTTGGAACCAAGATTATCTTAGAAATAAGATGTGGAGAAAGGGCATTTCTAGGTAAGAGAGGTGAATTTGGAAGTTAAGTATCTAAAAAAATCTATCCAGTTGTCCGTGTGTCCCTGGAAACTTTGCTCCCAAAGAATATGAAACAGCTGTTATTTGAGGAACTAGATCAAGGGGATGAAAAACTTCTCTAACCTAATTGTGTCATAAAACCTAGATTCAGTCGTGTTTAAAACCAAACCAGAAAAATAATGCTTCATTTGAAAAGTCACCCAAAGGCATTCTGATTTTGTATTGATTCTTTAGGTGAGTTATTGAGGGTAAAGTTTAGTAAAGTGATAAAGGAATTGGGAATTGGTTTATACTGGAAGGATGGTAACTTTTCCAAGCAGTTCTTATGTCACCACAAGGTGCTGCTCTCCAGTGTAGCATGTCCTTTGTATCTTGGAAGTCCTGTCAAATTGTCACTGTTGCTACGGGGCTCAAGGACCTGGCTGGTTGCTTCTAAAGTAAGTGTTAGAAGTGTATGCAGCACAGCTTCAGGCTGTCTGTGGAATGAATTATCAGTTTATTACTGGAATATTTTTGTTCTTTACTAAAGTTCATAAAACCTTTTTGGTATATACCTATAATCCCAGTATTCTGGGAGGCTGAGGCAGCAGGAGTACAAGTTTGAGCATAGCCTGGGTAACTTAACAGCTTAGAAAGACCCTGTCTCAAAATTAAAAAAAAAAATAATAGAGGGCTAGGGATGTAGCTCAGTGTGGAGCCCAGGTTCCAGTCCCCAGTAACACCACCAAAATCCCAGAAATATGGTATTATTTCTGAAGATATTTTTCAATTCAGAAAACAGTACAAAACTTTGGACTTTGCAACCTCAGGTGACTTTTACCCTCTCTACTTCAACTCCTTGGCTTTCCAGTTTGATGAAGACTGGGTTTTGGGTCATTGTAAAATTTTGTTCCAACTCAGCACAAAGAATAACTCATTTATCTTCTCTAAAGTGATGCTTTTTACTTTTGCTTTATTGAAGCAATTACCCTTCTAAGTCAGAAATGAAAGAAAATGGTTCTCAAGTTAAGTTAGTATCAATAGGTAGCAGCTCATTTCCTTGTAGTGGTTTCTCAGAGCCATAATCTCTTGAAGACTTTAGCGTCATAACCACTTGGGAAAGGGCCAAGACCTGAATTCTCATCATCGCTCTGGCTCTTATTTTTGAAGCAAGTCTGCTTTAATTCCTTGAGCATTTTTCGTTGAGGAAAAGCCTCTTCTGGGAAGCACTGTCCCTAACAGTTGAAAAACCCACAGCTTTCTTCCTTTCCCTGAAGTTGTTTCTTCCCTGAGAACATACATGAATATTTATTAAAGTCATTTTTCTTAGTTTTTTTTGCCTTATCGTACACACTGTAACCTCATAGAAAATATTAAAAAGGTATAGAAGTGATTAAAAAGCTTTGTGCACTACATGTCCTTTAGTCTTTGGCTATGATAAGGTTAGAGTGAGGGTGTTGATTCCAGGAAATTCAAAATAATTCTACTCTTGAGCAGCTTATGTCCATAACAGGAGCATGGAAACCAACATTGAAATTGCATCTCATGCTGAACAGGATAAGGTAATGGCTTCTTCTATTATCGTTGGGCACAGTGGTCTGTGTTAGGAGCCCTTCGGGGCACAGGACGCATGGCAGGACATAAATATTCACTATGTCTTTAGTTTACTTTATTTCATCTTTAGATGCATTAAACTACGTGTGTTTATTGCGTTAAAGAGGCATGTGTCTGGTTGGCAACGTCATCATTACATTTACTGAATTAAGTAATAGTTGGAAGTAACATTAATGAGAAAGAGTCATTTGAAAACAGTGAGTCTTTTAAAAATAAAAGAACTAATTTCCTTAAATACATTATGATTTTAAAGAAAGATTGACATGGTTCAAGACTCTAACAGGATAGGAATATGTGTTACATCTCAGGCCTGAAAAGAGGACTTCTTGAGAGCAGGTTTGCTCTGTACATTTCAGACAGGACTATATTTAATATTAAAGAGCCATGGAAAAAATCATTATTCAAATGAAACCAGCTGGCTAGGGGCAGACTTAGTAAGTGGTTCAACCTTTATTAATTCATGAATTCAAAAACACATCATCTTTTCTACATCAGATGG